TACATACATACATACATACATACATACATACATACATACATACATACATACATACATACATACATACATACATACATACATACATACATACATACATACATACATACATACATACATACATACATACATACATACATACATACATACATACATACATACATACATACATACATACATACATACATACATACATACTCACATACTAACATACATACATACGTACATAGATAGATAGATAGATAGATAGATAGATAGATAGATGTATAGTATATATGAGATGTATCTGCCTGTGTAGTTTGAGGACCTACTCTCTTGCCTGGAGCGGTTACTTCGTTGTCGCACCCGAAGGCCAGGTGGTGTAGGAGGACAGGACACACCAGACGTACAGTTCACTTCTTACTACACACCCACTAGCAACACGTGCATCTAGCCACCTCTGAGGTAGTACTGCTATCGTAATCCGAGTTTAACGTATGCATCGCCTTTTTTTCTTCCTCCCCCCCTCCCCCCTCCCTTGTTTTTTAATGCTCGTTTGCTATTGGTTTCTACATAACTGTCTGTGTGATAGCCTTCTATACACACACAACTGATCCCTATCCCTATACAAATCCACCCGTTTCTGGCTTGCACTAGACCAGGGTGTCTATGAGACAGCCTTCTACTTCCCCACAACTAACCCACACCCATACACACCCGGCAGACCCACTGCACATCCCGACCACAAGCGCCGACCCCGAAGGCCTGGTGATCAAAGCAGTGCTCTCGGGCGACTACCCCTCTGCCATCCAGGCGTGCTTAGACACAGGGAAGTTAGTAGAGGCCCTTGCTATAGCCTCGTTGGGAAGTGTGGGTCTGTTGCATCGCACACGCCTGCAGGTACTCAGCAAGTCCGAGAGCAACCTCAACCGTATATTGCACTCGGTGTGCATGCAGGACCTCAACGCATTGGTGGTGAACTGTGACCTTGTGGACTGGCGCGAGTGCTTGGCTATGCTGTGCTACCACGCGTCTGCAGATCAGGTATAGTAAGCAATAGCTGTTTTTACATATAGGTGTATGTACACACATACAAATACACACACACACACACCCACCACACACCCACACACACACACACACACACACACACACACACACACACA